TTCAGCAATAAGTCCCAGCAACAGCTGCCTCAAATGATTCTCAAATTATAACTTCTCAAAAATGGGATGACTGCAGCTCTTGGCAGGTTTTCTCCTGTCAGTCACACTTTTACTCCTTGCTTTCATAGGCTTTTCTGTATCGCTATTGTCACAAAGCCACCAAAAGCTTTATACTTGTAGAAGGTAACATTTTCACAAAGAAAATGTACTGGTTTTATTTATTAACCTAACACACAAAACACAGTGTTTAAAAGCTCTGCAGTGCCCCCACGCTATCATTCCTCTGGAATTTGGAGGAGGCAGCAGAGTTCACATGCAGTCAACAACATTGCTGGATCCTTGGCCCACGTCCCGGATCTGGCTGCTGAGACAAGAGCACACAGACACACCTGCCCCTGCCCTGCAGTGTGACACAGAGCCAACAAGTTCCCACCTAAAGAAGATGGCAGAGGGGGGAAAAAGGAAAGTAAGTTCCTGCCCTTTCTGAGCAAATTGAAAGTACTACTTTTCTGTGTTCGGAATTCTATTATACAACCTAGCTGTTTGCACAAAAACACACCCCGCTAATTTATTATTTCTCCAGTAAATTTAGTGCAAAATCAGATTGTAACAACCAGAAGAGCGTAGATTCTTATTGAATGAAGGGAAGATGACAAGGGATGGAGAAGAGAAGGTGCTTAAATGTTTACAAGAACCACCAAGTGGTGTAAGCAGCATCCCTGCATCACTAGACATGGGTATTACTCAATTATTACCAGGAAACAACAGATAGACTCCTGCTGCATGCTATTTCTGTTATGTTGTGTTTACATATAGGCAGATAGCATTGTCCTATTAAGCCAAATAAAAAATTTTAAATTACCTATTTACTATGGGATCAAATGCTTCCACTGTATTCAGGTATGCGTTGCCATTATGACCTCCAACTGCAAAAATTTTACCCATCAGTGTCGCTATGCCAACGCCACCCCTTGGAGTTGTAAGCTCTGCTACGTATTCCCATCTGTTACTGCGTGGGTCAAACCGCTCCACTGAGCTCAGTGGAGAGTTGTCATCAAAGCCACCTGCAAAGAATCATCATATTATCAGTTTTTAGCCACTTCCAGGGCTGGAGATATCCAAGACTGGCATTATCAGGCTGTTCTCAGCATTCAGTGGGCTATGGTCCAGCTCTATTTCTTTACATGACTTTTACAAGCTCCTAAAAATTAATCTAACATCTCTCCCTCTTGTCGCCATACAAGCATCACCAAGAGTGACAGGTTTCTTCAACTCGCATTGCAAGGAGAATTATTTATATTATTTTTCTCCTTGAATTCATCTTGCACGTAATGAAACAGTTTCTGATTTGGAATAGAAAAAAAATAAAGACCAGTAAAAGGATGGTCTTGATCTTATTTTGGCTCAAGGAAAACAAGCTCTTGCAGTATTTTCAAATAGAACTACAGTGCTTTAAAAGTGTGTGAACTTAAGTTCCTAAAAGGAAACTCAAGATTAGTGAGTCTCGGGAGGATTTTCTATATAGATATATTGTCCAGAACAGTACAGACCTCTTGAAATGTGGGTTAGGAACTGCTTTTTACTTTCTCACTACTATACCTTCATTTAAGGCTCTAGAATTTTATCCTGGTTGCGCTCACTTTCTTCTCCTGCCCAAGAACACCAAGTGCAGGTCAGGTCTATCCGGTTCCCCAGCTCCTCTAGCAACAGCAGCTTCTTCCAAGTGCAAGTACTTGGCAGAAGCAGCACTACAAAATGCCACAGGCTACTCACCGACAACATACAAGCAGCCGTGGAGCTCGCTGACACCATTGCCAGCTCGTCGCTGACCCATCTCTTTCACCTCTATCCACTTATCCAAATGGGGATCGTATTTCTCCACACTGGAAAGAGATGCTACGCCGTCATTGCCACCCACAGCATAAACATGGTTCTAGAAAGGGAACGATTATTTGCAATGTATATGTATTTACTCAGCTTTTCATAAGCAGTCTTAAAATTATAGGAAAACACGCTATATTCATACAATCCTAATTATTTCTTTTATTTAAGAATTCCAACAGCAGAGTTAATTATCTAACAACTTGTAAATGCTGTTTTCCAATTAAAGAATTGAAAAAGTTACATGGTGTTGCAGGTATTTTGCAGCATATACATGGCAACAGGGGGATTAAAGTGCAGATGCATCCAGTACTTTTAAACATAGTACCCATGACAAACCAGGGTCTTCTGCATGAGATGTAATGTATTAGCCTGATGTTGTTAGAAGCGTCCTGGTACTTGCTCACAGTACCTCAAATACTGTTGCAATAGGCAACGCAATTCAATTTGATACAAGTATTATCCTAAATATCCCCACCTTTTGCACACTTCCACAGGATTTTGCTGACCGGAGGTGCTCAGACGCACCAGCGGCTTTTTGTTTAAAATCGTATGTTCTGCTTTGTAAGGTGTAGTTGAAAAGCAGCCCCAGAGGCCGATTCCCCAATTGGCCCTGACTCGGGAGGAGACAGTCACTTACCATGAGGGCAACAGAGCCGACTCCTCCCCTGGGAGTGTTCATTGGGGCGACTGCGCTCCATCGGTCAGACTCCGTGTCGTATCTCTCCACATCGCTGAAGCAAGTGTTGTCATCTAAACCCCCTATTGCATAAATGGGGCCACCAAGGGAGGCAAGAGCGATTCCTCTCCTAAGAAAACCACAGGATCAGTATCTCAGTGCAAAGCTTTAAGGAAAGGGAATGGGACAGTCACATCAAGTGCAGTGTTAACTGACGCACCTGTTTCAGACTATGGGGAAAAAAGTAATTGAACAAGTGATGTTTATAATAAATAATAGTGATGTTTATAATAAATAATGACTAACCGATGTGGCTGACCCTCTGCATACCAGTGTCAGACTTGCAGCATTATCCTGGAAGTCTTTTGTATGTTTGCCTCCCATTAGAGGGGCTCTAGAGTTTTATCTTAACTTCACCTCAGCCTTCCCAGGCACCTGTATGTAAAGGTGTGAGCCTTGAACAGGACTGGTGCAGCTAGAGAAGCATTTTCAGACTGCAAAAAGACAAAGCTCCTGTTTAAAACAAACAAACAAAACCCCAACAAACCAAAAACCAAACATAACAGGGAGGGAGGACATGGAATACTGTTTTGACTGAATGTCACCTAAAGCTTCAGTCCTCTACTAAGATGCGTGGATATAGAAGGTTGTCTTAGTTATTTGATATCTGTACCTTGGTACTCAACTTTACACCTCTTTTCTTGTTTTATTGAACCTGATGGAGAACCAAAAACCTGCTGGCTTTAACTTTATTGGTATAGCTGCTGCTACAGTTTGAGAATTAATTTTTTTGGGGTGATATTAATACACATTAAAAGGCAAACTTGTGTTGGATATTAGATGACTGAACTTTAGCAATATTTAATTGGAATTTCTTCCGTTCTCTTCTTTTTCATTGTCTGTGTTGAAATAGTTGTCAGATTTTTTTTTCTACTAAATCTACCAATACGAGAGTACAATTGGTACTACAAAATTAGAAGTAATGTCATTAAAGAACTTGGTGTAAAGTATGGTCTAGAATGTAAGTGTTAAGTTTCTGCTTTTAACTACTGAGACAGGCGGTTTACCATTTCACTGGGAGCATTCTTGGCTCATGACACTGAGGGCAGGTTTGCAGAGACAGGAGCGAGGGAGGCACAGTCCTTCTACAGAACAAATGTTCTACAGAACAAATTTCAAATTGCCTCAGCAGATAACACAGTCCACACCACAAACAGGTGGCAGTTTTTTCTCCAACAACACCTCCATGAACAGGAGTGGAGCATAGCCAAGGCACAACAGCCCTTTCATTTATCAAAGTACTGATCAGGTAAGAAATGCCACAGAAATCCAGGGCTGATGTTTGGCGAGAATAAGCTGCGGGGGGTGGCAGAAGGGAGGAAGAGGAGCAAGAAACCATTTATAGGAGTCTGGGTCTTCTACTTTGATTGGGTCACAGACACAAATAGCTTTAGGACTTGGTTGTCCTCAGTATTTTACTCTTACCTGTACATGAGACTTTTAGAAACAACAAATAACAAAACAGAATATAGAATTAAGGAAGTTGATTTAAATGAGAGCAGAAACAAAAAAATTACAGATCTGCGAGTCCAGTAGCTCTTTAAAAGAATCATAAGACAAGAAAGATCCACAATCCGATTCTCAGTGTCTCTGGCCTTTTGTGGCTTGTTTCCTGGGCATAAGTTCTGCTGGCAGTTATCTTGCATGTTCTTAAAAAGAGCAAAAAACCCCACCGAACCAGTAAATGAGTTTCAAGTTCTTTATAGGCATAGCAGAAAGGCCCTAGATATCAGAATGGAAGCACAGCTGGAGTTGAAGAGTCCTCTGCTCCAGAAGCCAGGCCCCCCCAAAAAAAGAAAAGCATAATAGGGCAGCAAAAGAAAGCCAAAGCGCAAACATGAGCAATGATACCAGCCACGGCCTATCCCTAGAGCAAAGGATTATGCAGTTTTGCACTGAAATACTTACAGTATGTTAGGCACAAGTTTGTGTTTGTGCAAGTATGTGATGTAGATTTGTGTTTGCTTTATAGCTGGTAAATAAACGTGTCTGATAGCATTCAAGCCCCAGAATAGGAAAAAAAATCCTAAAAATAGCAGAGCTTAGAAACCCAAATAAAGGCAGGACAGACTAAGACTTACATTTTGGATCATGGGATGCATACCTCTTTGTGTTCATTGATGCCTTCATCATCCACTTGTTAGTGAGAGGATCAAATACTTCCATGCTTCCCAAGTGTTCATTTCCATCATGTCCCCCTACTGCATAGACTTTACCTGAAACATACACACAGCGTTTGATACAGAGCCAGCTTGGCAACATTTCCGTTTTCATTTATGTAACATCCCTGCCTATGTGGGGAAAAAAAAACCAAACTCAAATAAAGGTTAAGAGTTTTCAAAGGCTTTCAATATAAGTAAGGACTTTATGTTTTTTACATGCTGTACTCAACCAGAGATCTGTTCTAATGTGGACTTATATACAGAGCTTGAGATATGACAATACAGACAATAAATCTTCCCATAACTTGAGTACTGCAGATCCAGATCAGTTTTGGACATTTGTATCAATCTCTCTAGACTTTCTACGAGGTGAAAAAACATCTCTGTTCTGCAACAAGACAGGGGATATCGTGTACAAGGAAAAGCTGCATCATGGGTGCTAAGCTGCTTTGGGCGGCATGGCCCTGGTTTCAGAAGACAGAGACCCATAAATAAAGGTACGTCTGCTCTTGGAAGAGTTATGGCCTTAGTGACTTGCCTGTATGGATTTAAGTATGAAGAGAGCTAGCATGAGTACTAGCAAATTCTGGGTCACTGCTATGTAAGGCCACTTCTTTATAAATGGATTTTAAAAAAATTATGTCACCTATTAAGGCAACAGGCTATACAGTTTGCAGTAATGTATTTTCAGTAAGCATGCTCTCAGATTGTTTCAGAATCAAAAACCCCTTCATGGGGAAGAAGCTTCACTAAACTTAAGAACATCCAACAGTTAAGCCATTGCAAGAGAGATTTATTTAGTAAGAAGTACCGATTCCAGCAAAAGGAGCAAACAAGTGCCTTTTGAATAGGGTCATTACTGACCTCCTACAGAGATCACACCCACGTGCCTTCTCCTGCTGTTCATTTCAGGGCCAAAGAACCAGTTGTTCCTACTGATAGAGTAACATTCAATGCTGCGAAACGGGTCACCCGATCCACCTCTACCACCAACACAGAACAGCACACCTGAAGAAGACAAAACAGGTTTCCAGAAAACTAGCAGGAAGATGGGGGATAAAGCTGCATAGCAGAGTGGACTGCAAATTATGTAGTTCAGGTGAAGTCACAATTCATAGTCACTGCCCTGCATACTGGATGTTGGATTTTGACATTTGCCTGGCATGCTGTTAAGCCAATGAACCATCTATGCTCTTGCAAAAATAATGTGTATTTTAAATATGCTTTTTGTGATTTTGCTTAGGGACACAAACAGATTGTTTGTTAAATATAACAACATAAAAATTGGGATTTGCAGTAAATATTCATGACTCACTTTTGGTGTAGGTTAGCCAGAGTTTAAAAGTTAGCTCAACCTTCTGGCACCAAAAGGTAAGTGTCCACTGTTTTCTGTATAGCTTTGAGCATACTGCCTGCATGTAACATACTTAACCATTCCAGCTTTAATACAGATAGAGCTGATCAGGATAAATAATGCTTTACGGAAATAAAATGACTGCTAAAGTTCTGCTAGGAAAATGCAGCACATACCTAATTACCAGAGAGGTACACAATGGCTTTTCCCATTTTGCATTAATTCGTTAACACCCATTTATACCAAGCTATCTAACCCTGCACAGCTGCGCCGCTTTTCCTCCACACCACTCCATACTGGATAATCAGACACACATTTAATTACCAGCAGTCTGCTTCCTTGGTGTTGTGCGAATGGAGTACTCAAAGTCTGGCACTGCCCTGCTGCTCAGGTGAAGGTGGTAGTTTCTTGCTTCATCCAGCAAATCCCTACATTTTAGATTCTGCTTGACAATCTCTTCCTTTGCCACAACACCCATAAGGAAACATACGGGCAAGAGAGGCAGCCGTACCTGACAGAAATGAACACAGTTGGAATAACTGGCTGAACTGGCCGAGTCTCACCATTTACACTGACGAACGCACAACAGATGGCAGCTTCAGCCTCAGACTCTTCACTAAAAGAGCGGCTTTCATAGTTTTTCCCCAGAATAACTGATAGGAACAGTTCTTTTTAGTGGCAAACATTTGCTACTACTATTTGCATTTAAGCAGCAGTGGAAAATTGTCCCTTGGCCCAGGCTGAGCAGAGGAAGAAGCGCTGCTGCACGTACTGCAACTGTGCCTGCCCAGCACAATGCAGGCAGTATCTGTGACTTTACCAGGATGGCCTTCTTTGGCCAGTCAGAAAGGAAGCACTGCCAACATGAACTAAGTGTCTATTAAGGAGGTATTCCTAGTGCAGTAACACCTTTCTCTAGCGTAGACTTGACAGACTACAAGATTTTAAAAAATTAAAATAAAATTAAAATTAAACAAAACAAAACAAAAGAAAATAAAATGTTGAGAGCCAATTGTTTCCTTCCCTAAATCCTTCCTGTGGTTCCTCAGAAGAGCTGGTGACCAGGCTGAAGAATGGGAGGGTCTTGCTGGGTGATGCTACCCTGCTACTGGCTGTCACTGCCCAGAGCAATCACCATGGACAGCCTCTCCAAGGCTGCCTTGAAATATCCTCCCTCTTCAGTCATTTATTTCTGCAAATGTTTCATTTGTCCTTGTGAGAGACAGTGAGGAACATGAAGTACAATCAGATTGGGGTGACAAAACAAAGGTGCAAAGATCCAACAGGTGTTAGCAGGGGAGGAACTGAAGTAAACCACTAATGGTGAAGAAGTCCAGAAGCTGGTGCTTCTCAGAGCAGCAGGATGGCACTGTTATATGGTTGATAAGCGGCCCTGTCTTGAAGTAAGCAAGTGTCTCTAACAGTTTTTCCTTACCCACTTGCTTTCAGTCCCATTTCTTCCTTTACTCTGGCCCTGGGTTCTCTTAGGCTGATTAAAAGCACCACTGTAGCCCTACTAACAGACTCGTGAGGTTAGTGATGTGGTCAGAACTCAAGGCTGACAAATTAAAAATCTCACTAAAACAGTGAAACCCATAAGGCTGATTATGATGTGGATAATAACTGTCAAGAAGCCCAGTCCTGTTTTCTGCTAGCAATAATGTCCAAATCAACTGATGGATCCATGTACTTTGGCAAGTAGTAACCCATATTTACAGAAGTGGTTTACTTTTTCCTTGCTTCTCTCCTACAGAGATAGCTCCTGTAAGAAGCTGCTACGAGTTTCCCTGGCTCCAATTCAGACCCGCCTCTGACCAAGGCCAAGCCAGTCAGCGCCTCTGCAAATTATATATTTAAGAGGGGTGCTGCACATGGCCTGCCCCCCAGGCCCCAAGCTGGTCGAGCCTAAGCTCAAGCCCCGCTGCAGATCCAGCCCAAGAGAGCTGGGAACTCTTCAAGAAACAGCATAAGAAGCCTGCAGCAGAGAGAAGAGTGGGATGTGAGAAAAACAACTGCACAAACACCAAGGTCCTTGAAGAAAAGAGGGGGAGGAGGTGCACCAGAGCAGGGGCTGTATGAGAGGGCAGGCTGGCCTGCCTGCAGCCCATGGAGATTCAACGGTGGGGCAGAGGTCCATCTAGGAAGGTGGCTGCGCCCAAGGAAGGCCATGACTCCATGGGAAGTGTGCGATGGAGCAGTCTGTGGGCAGGACTGCATCCTGCAGCTGGGAAGCCCACACTGGAGCAGCTTGTGCGGAAAGTGCAGCCTGGGGGAAGGCTCAAGTTGGAGAAGTTCGTGGAGGACTGTCTCCCATGGGAGGGACACCAAATGGAAGCAGAGGAAGCGTGCGAGCAGTGCTCCCTAACCTTGAAGAGGAAGGGGCATCAGGAACAGTGAAACTGACCACAGCCCCCATTCCCATCCTCCTGTGCTGCTGGGGGGGGGAGGTAAAAAAACTGGGAGCAAAGCTGAGGCCAGGAACAAGGGAAGGGTGGGAGAAGGTGTTGACTTTCAAGATCTGGTTGTACATCTCATTATTCCACTCTTATGTTACTGGTAACAAATGAAATTGTTTTGTTTTTCCCCAAGTTGAGTCTGTTCTCTGCCATAACCTTAAGTGGTGAGTGATCCCTCCCTCAACTTGTCTCAACCCAGAAGCCCTTGGTTATATTTTCTCCTGCTCATCCCATCAGTGGGAGGAGTAAGAGAGCAGCCAAGTGGTGCTCAGTTGCCTGCTGGGCTTAAACCACGACAATAGGGCTTGTATCAAGTCTAAAGGATTAAACTGCAAATTCCTTTCAGATCCTACAAGTAAGGAGCAGTGCTAGTCTAGTGAGCATTAAAAGGTCTACCATATGTTTCATAGACTGCTCGTAGAGGTTACACATCTCAGTCTTTTGTTAAATATATAGAACATTCTAGACACAGCACAACTTGATGTGGTATCTCCACTGCAGTTTTACTTTCCAAGCCATGTAACAAGAATCCTTGTCACTTTGCTCTCCTTTTTTAAGTACAAATACTTACCAACAAGGGAAGCAAGCGTTTCAGGCTGTAGTAGTATTGAACCACATGAAGTGAGAGCTTTTATGTTCTCCACTTCACTATGTGTAAATCTAAGAAGTTTCTGCTCTAGCATAAGTGCAGCCTTTTTGTTGGTTCCTCATCCCCCAGCCATGAGCATAAAGTGAGTATTCTTCTCTCTACAGAAATTGGAGAATATGACTTCTTCCTGATATTCAAGATATCTAACATGCCACTGTCAGCTCACAACTGTGACTAGCAGGTGAGGCACCAAATGGTAAGAACATTTTTCATCTTGAAATCTACCTAAGTACAAACAGCTAATAATAGAACTAAACCCCTAAAGAGTGAGGCACCCAGTGACCCTGTCTGCCCTACCTGCGCAAGTATTTCATCCAGCCACGTGGCATGATGCTGTGGATTGGCTAGTAACCACTTGATAGCAGCGTTGTAAACTTGCTTTTCATTTTCAATATTCAGGTCACTGGAGGACAGGAGTTTATGGAGGTGCTGTGGTGACACGCTCACAAAGTCTTCGCACTCCACCACTTCAGTAAAATGTTCGCAAGCGTACTGATCGGCCATCTCCATCAAGTCAATGCGGTTGTGACTCTCTGCAAACGCTCTGACCGCCAGGCAGTTGGAGGGATGGAAGTGCAGCTTCATGTATTCGCAGCACGCCTTTGCTACCAGTTCCACCTGAAGAATGCAAGCAGCGTACAGAAGAGGCTGGACATTATCCACCGTCAGAGTAAGCCGGGAGGAGTACACAAATTTCACTAGATCTTGTATTGTATCACCATCAAAATCCTTGATCTCGATCAATGTCTGCTTGGCTTCAGCCATTTCGGAGAGAAACATGGCTCTGAAGTAAGGTATAACACAAGCTAGCACCAGTTTGTGGCAGGAGATAAGCTTTGAACCAACCTGAAAAAAAACCCAAATCATAATCTTTTACTGAAACATCCGTTTCAGTTAGTTTCTTTCAGCTATAAAGGAAAGGACAGGTAAACTGAAATTAAAATTCTAGACTTGGATATTAATTGAGCTACTGCATTTGCCCTGTACTTCTGACTTTAGATCTATGCATCCCAAGCAGACCAGAGTTGTAACTTGGCCACCAGAGCAGCACAAGACCTTAACACCAGGAGGCAATAGCATCAGAGCACCAAGCTCTTTTTCCTTGTCCCAGTCTGAGCTAAACAGAAATAATTCTCTATTCAGTGATTTTCCTTTTCAGTTTAGTCTCTTCTAAGTGACTGTACTTTCTGAAACTAACGGCATGTGTTTCCAGTGTTGGCATCTTGGACTGACAGGCCTGGGGTTGATAGTTACTACTAGAACGGAATGCAAATATAGGTCTTGCTAATACGTGCTCGTATGGAGACCAAGGCCACTGCCACGTCACGGGTGCTGTGCTGAGGTGTTGTAAGTGAGGTGTCGCACCTGCAGGGAGGAGCAAACAGGACAGATGACCCAAAACTGACCAACAAGGTATTCCATCCCATATATAAAGCTGAGGGATCACAAGGGTCAAGTTCTCTTCTTCTGCCATGGACTCTGCCAGCTCATCCGCATTTGATCCCAATCCGTGCGTTCCTGAATCCAGCTCCCACCACTGCTGACTGAGGTCTGGGACTTTTCCAGTGCCCCACAGTGTCTTTGGTGACATAATCATCATTGAGGGTGGGGAAAAGGGTTCAATATTGGTTTTGTGTATATTTGTATATACTTCATTCTTTTCCTATTTAGATTATTACTTTTCCATATTATTGTTATTGTTTCATTAAACCTGTCTTAGTTTTCTTTTCCAACCCATAAGTCTCTCTCCCTTATTCTCTTTATCTTTACCCTCTGGCAGAGGGGAGAGGGGTTAATAGAGAGCATTAATCATTCATTTACTGGCCAGCCCAGCCCTAAACCTTGACATTCCTTTAAGAGTCATGTCCTATTTTTTAAATGAAACATCCTCAGGGACCTTCTAGATCCACGTTGGAAACAGGAAGAAACTGCTAGCCATTTGTTCGGTTTATGCAAATTCAGAGATTTTAAGGGGGTGGGAATTTAGAGAGACATTTTTAGACTACTTAATTTAAACCCCTGCACTTTTACTACAGTTAAAGAATTAATAATGCTGTTTATAGAAGCAAATTCATGTAAAACTGCAGTAATAACAGCTATTGCAGGGGTTATTAAAAGTTACCAGTTACTTCAGTTCAAGATTTTAGAAGCTGTTTAGCCACAAAAGATATAGTACTCCCCATAAAGAAGAGGTTATTTTTCAAAACTCTCATCAGAAAGTGCAAAACAGGTATTCACTTACAAAATTCCAGAATTCAATTACATTAAAAGACAGCATAAATATTGAATTACTTAGGTAAATGACCAATCCAACACTTAGCCGTGTTACAACAGTGCTTTCTTACAGCCTTCATCATTCTGTAGTCTCCACTAATATAAAGGGATGGCTGAGTTCAGCAATTTCCCTGACAGCCTTGAATGACATCTTCTGCAATTAAAAAAAAAGGATATTGAATTATAAAGGATACAATTGCTCTACCCTTGTTGAAAGTGTGTATTATCAACACAAGTTTAACCTGCCTGACACACACCAATTACAAGAGGGGAAAAGATGGATGGCTCAGTGTGAGTTCATTAGATCACTCCAGGAGGAATAATTCATCGACCAACTAAATGAACAACAAAAAAACAGACCAATAGGAGAAAAGCAGATGGTATGCATCTGCCACTACTACTTCTGACAGGGAGCTGTTCATACAACAGGAGAAGTACAGTAAGTGAAAATCCACATTTTAACTCCTTGGAGCAAAGGAAGTCTCCCTGCGTGTGCCCATGATTTATTACTTTACTGTAACAGTGTCAGCACTCCCAACTATAGTACTGATGCAAAAAGATGCTACCTGCTCTATCAGGAAAAGCTCCTAGGCCATTCACACCTTCAGAGATTTTTTATTCTGCCCATCATCCCACTCTCTAATTAGATCTTTCTTTTGAATTAAGTGGCTGCAGTATTTTATTCAAATCTGCTTAAGGATCTAGCATGTTCTTGGTATTTCAAAGTCAGAGTTCTCCTCCAGTTACTAACTATCACAGATTAAAAATCACATTTTGAGAGCCAGCAGTTAAATCAATAATTGGTCTGACAACAGCAGTGACAAAACTGCTCGCTATCGTAGGTCATGCACAAAAGCAGAAAGCTCAGTATAGCAGTAATTATTCTCAAAACATGAGAAATGCTTGAGCACTACAGAAAGAAAAAACAAGCCCTCCAGAAAATTCTAGTTCAATAGACAGTAACCAGTCACTGAAAAGCACTGATTTAGGAAGCCTTATGGTAAGACGTGCATAGGCTGATTTAGCCTCCATAGATTATATTCTCCACTTGAGGACTGCAAGTCAAGTAACACAATCCAGTATTCGTACATTACCAAAGTAGCCTCACGCAAATAGTACAAATGAACAGTAATACAAGCCTAACTTAGGGAAAATCAAACTGTAGCCATAGGCAAGTATATTTTCCAATCTAAGTTACCCTAGCAGGAGTACAGGTTTAACTATGCTTATAAGACCTTCTTCCCTTTTTGCAAGGGTGGGTGGAAAGGGAGAAAGGCAAGGATGAGGTGAAGAAAAGGGAAGAAAAGGGTTAAGAGTTCTGACATGAATGTTCTTCCCTAAAAGACCTTTTAAAACGACAGATGTAAAACACCCTGATGATAAGCTCTCAGTCAAGTTCTGTTTCATGGTGCTCATGTTGTCTGGAGCAGTTTTGATATTGTCATTCAGTGTCCTGTGAGCATTAACTGTTATGAGCCACTGGACCTATTCTGCTGTTGCATCTAGTGCCTCGTGACAGGCAATCAAAGAATCTAGTATCTGCTGTGAAGCACAACAGAAAAATGTTCTTGTTCATTTTACTCCTGCTATCCACAGGGACAGAAGGGAGAGAAATCCTTTTCCTCTTAGAGATTTCCGTTGTCTACCAAGCATTTAAAAGTGATGGGATGCCTGCTGGAGGGCACCAGGGACACACATCTGTCAAAGGTCTTCCCTGTTAATATGTAATAGTAAAAGTGGCAAGCAATTTCTCCCAAAGGCATCTGCCATTTGTTCTTGGCACAGGAACTACGCTTACCCTCTTCTTCTTAACTAACTATCTTGTACCATTAAGATGTCTTAAACAATACTTGATGTTTGTAGGTGCTGGCAGCCACTGTTACGGATGCTAGATATAAATTTATTGTGATCAGGATGTAAGTAATATACAGCCTGTTACAGAGAACGCATTAAAGCAATGCTGTGCAAGAATTGTAGAACTGGTGTCCTCTTTCTCCTTATTCTCTGATCAGCTGCAGAACATAGTTGTCTGGTTGGTTTGTTTGAGGAATGCTAGAAGTTAGATTTGTTCCAGAAAGCTCTTTAGGCAGGAAAGATCTAGCAGGGCATCACAGAATGCAAAAATAGAGATAAAATTGGGGATGAAAGTGTGTGAGAATGAACAGGCTACAAGGAGCAGAAATTGCACAGTAATACACTGATCAACTCTAGGAACTTGCTTAGAAGGCAAGTTTGGTGAGGTCAGTGTCACATACTTCCTCTCTCAGACTGTCGAAATCTTAAGTGTTTACATTTCAGTAGTGAACTTCCTAAGTTAGGAAGAAAAACCCCACAAGCGTATCTAGAGATGCCTCAGACCCAATGGCTGTTCTGGCTTCTAGATCCCTGCCCAAATTCACAGCACACCCATTCATAGCTTAATCTTCAGACTGTTAAATGCAACAGATGTCGACAATATCACCTTCAGTGTAACATCGCAGAGCTCTCCAGCTTCAAAGAAGTGAAGAAGAGAACTGTGAAAATCCTTCCACGCCTCATTTGCTTCAAACACAAAGATATCATCTTCACCATCACTGTTGGAAGACCTAGTTTGCCGCTGCTGCTGCTGCCTTTTTCCCTTTATCAGATGTTGTTTTGCCTGCTCTGGGACCATGGATTCTGAAGCCATTGGCTGTTTCTTCTTTCACTGCATGAATCTTCAAAAACTCCCACCAAGACAAAATCCAGCCCATCAGGAGTCACGGCAGTTTAGTTCTGTTCATCTTCCTGCATAAAAAAATTAAAAACACAGAAAAAGCAGATAAGACATTAGGTACTCCAAGTACCTAACACTTTGATCACATCTTATAAATACTACCTATAATCTTACTTGGGGAAGCTGACAGAAGGGGGTGGAGGGAGACCCACAGACAAGAATCCTATGCAGGTACCTCTCGGAGTAGCCACTGTTTGGGAACTTGTTGCCCACGCTTCTTGAAAAAAAGACACGCAAAGGAAAAGGCAATATTTATCTCCGACAACATTTTTAATCTCTACACTGTGGACTGTAGAAGACCAGAAAGGAAACGGCCCACAGACAGCTGCACTTCTTTGGTCCCTAAATAGCATCTTATCACTGCTGCCACAGACAGACTACTGATCTGACTCTGATCGGTATTTTGTACATACATACTACTCAGCTTTCCTAGGTCTCTTCAAAAGCTAAAGCAATCCTTAAGTGTTTTGTGCATTTATGCAAATGTAAGCAAAATATAAAAAGCTTCTACCGAACTAGAGAGAGCAAAAATTTATGTTTACAGAAAAAACTCGGAAAGTAAATTACTTTATTTTATCTAGCAACCTTATCAATCAACAGATTGATATTTAAAGCATGACAGTCAGTGTTATGTAAAAGATTGTTCCTGCTTGCTAGCTTTTATTTTAGATTAGATTAAGAACCTGAAGATACACAAGTCCATGTGATTCGATGAGATTCATCCATGGGTCCTGAGAGAACTGGTGCATGAACCTGCCAAACCACTATCCAGCATATTTGAAAGGTCATGGCAATCTGGTGAAGTCCTGGCTGACTGGAAAAGGGGAAACATAAACCCCATTTTCAAAAAGGGGAAAAAAGGAAGACCTGGGGAACTATCGTCCAGTCAGTCTCACCTCTGTGCCTGGCAAGATCATGGAGTAGAACCTCCTGAAGGCTCTCCTAAGGCACATGGAGAATGAAGACGAGGTGACTGTTGTTAACCAACATGGCTTTACCAAGGGCAAATTGTGCCTCACCAATTTGGTCACTTTTATAATGGAGATACAGCTTTGGTGGATAAGGGAAGAGCAACCGACAACATCTACCTGAACTTGTGCAAAGCATTTGATACTGTCCTGCGTGACATCCTGGCCACGAAACTGGAAAAGTGTGGATTTGATGGATGGACCACTCGCTGGATAAGGAATTGGCTGGATGGTCACACTCAGAGAGTTGTGGTCAATAGCTCAGTGTCCAAATGGAGACCAGTGAGAAGTGGTGTTCCCCAGGAATCAGGACTGGGACCAGCACTGTTTAACATCTTTGTCAGCGACATGGACAGCGGGGATCGAGCGCACCCTCAGCAAGTTTGCAGATGACACCAAGCTGGGTGGTGCAGTTGAAATGCTGGAAGGAAGGGATGCCATCCAGAGGGACCTGGACAGGCTGGAGAGGTGGGCCAGTGCCAAACTCATGAAGTTCAACAAGGCCAAGTGCAAGGTCCTGCACCTGGGTAGGGGCAATCCCAAGCACAAACACAGGCTGGGCAGAGAATGGCTCGAGAGCAGACCCGAGGATAAGGACTTGGGGATGTCAGTTGATGAAACACCCAACATGAGCCAGCAATGTGCACTTGCAGCCCAGAAGGCCAACTGCATCCTGGGCTGCAGCAAAAGAAGTGTGGCCAGCAGGGTGAGGGAGTTGATTCTGCCCCTCTACTCTGCTCTCCTGAGACCCCACCTGGAGTACTGCATCCAGTTTTGGGGACCACAACATAAAAAGGACATCGAACTGTTGGAGCAGGTTCAGAGGAGGGCCACAAAGATGATCAGAGGGCTGGAGCACCTCCCTTACGAGGACCAGCTGAGAGAGTTGGGGCTGTTCAGCCTGGAGAAGAGAAGGCTCTGGGGGGACCTTATTGCAGCCTTCCAGTTAGTGAAGGGGTCCTACAGGAAAGCTGGGGAGAGACTTTTTACCAGGGCAGGTAGCAACAAAACGAGGGGGAATGGTTTTAAACTGCAAGAGGGTAGGTTTAGACTAGATATTAGGAAGAAATTCTTTACTGTGAGGGTGGTGAGACACTGGCACAGGTTGCCCAGGGAAGTTATGGATGCCCCCTCCCTGGAAGTGTTCGAGGCCAGGTTGGACAGGGCTTTGGGCAGCCTGGTCTGGTGGGAGGTGTCCCTGCCCATGGCAGGGGGGTCAGACTAGATGATCCTTAAAGTCCTTTCCAACCCAAACCATTCTATGGTTCTGTTATTACAGTTACCCACCTTAATTGCACATATTTAAGGTGGAAAAGATTTATATAACTCAGACTAAGGGAATCTTAGCTGTACTGGTATCACAGCTTTCACAGGGTTGAAAGACAAATTAGGGATACCACAGACAATGCAGAAAAGGCTTGTTCTGCTTCTGTCACTCAAATATTTAACTCTTCCTGCTACTGGGAACTCCAGTTAGGTTAAGTTTTAAGTTGACCTTTTTATTAAAAAAAAAAAGTTAAGCTGTAGGGAAGAACATTTTTTTCCAATTCAGTAGCATAATTTAAGTTTCGGCTCTGTGTGTCTAAAATCCGTGACAACATACATCCCATGAACTCAGTGAGATTTAGGCTGTGCATCGACATGCTTTGTGGAAGATTACAAAGTCCACAAGAAAAAACAAGTACTGTTTAAAAACATGGAGTTACTGATTCAGCTTACAAGTCAGAGTTCTGTTAGACTTTGCCAAGGAAAGCAAATAATTCTGTAATGTTTTAAGACAAAGTCTCTGGATAGCAGATAAAATATTTAGTAGCATTGGCTAGCTTTGGTTTTCATGTTTTCTGGCTAATTTATTGTGCATTCATTCTTCATTCTCCACCAACAGTTGACGGTTGTTGTAGTTCAGTGATTTCTGCTCATGGGCTCTGGTGTTGGAGGAAGTGGACTGACTCGAGGAAGTGGACTGACTTGAAGTAACAAAAAATTCTTCTACAATAAAAATGTAAGTCATGGGCCTGGGAGGAGAACTGATTATCTTCTGGTATCTGTGCCTCTTAGTAAATGTACAACTCTCCATGCATCAGTGCTGAAGAAGGAGCAGGAAGTGACTTGAGGCAATCACTTATTTCTGCTCTAGGTCACAGGGCTGTTGGCTACACTGGACCAGGCAGGTTAAAGTGAGATCAAATGTGCCTAGAATATTCACCAATGCTGCTGTAAGCAAGGTAAGTATTATTTCTTTAAGAGACATATAAGAGAAAGATCATACTTCTTCCAAAAGCATAAACTAGCTCAAAGATATTACACATCACAGGATACTTACATAGTTTATAGCAAGGAATACCTTTTTCTGATGAAAACTTAACTTTTATTATGCCAGATTTGACAAATTACAATACTAAGGTGTTTTTCTAGTCTAAGAGGAAAAATCTTGGTATTTTGGTCCTCTTCTTTTAACTTCAAATTGATCCTCCACTACTGGTACTCACTAACTTTGCTTTGTTTTACGTGTCCTTTGAAAAGGTCACTATTATCATTGAGACATGAAGCTAACACAGAGTGTCAGATGTAACCTACTGAAATTACAAAAGTGAACATAGACAAGCAAGAGGGAAAAGAGACGCTAAAATGCCGTACAAGGGTTTAGAAAAGCATTATGTATTATTCATTCAGAAGAAAGACATAGCATCTTTCACCTACACTTCTAGGGAACTATTGCTTATTTTGGTTCTTAACTGACACTCTCACTTCACTGCTCCCCAGCCCCTCACACATAACAGTATTTTTACAGCTGAGTAGAAATGTTGCTTTCAGACAGAACTGCCTCTACTAAACAGGAGATCGCAGCTCCCAAGTCATACGGTTTTTCCATCTGGCATATCTGCTATGTTTATCCTCATGCTTTAATTGCAACTGCACATATACTTTCCAAAACTGTGGCTCAAGTAAAAGAGGTTGATGGTATTCTGGGTATGCCATTGTAACGACCAACACAAAACCTATGAGTCTTAAGATAAATCAGTGCTCTTGGGGTGACTTTATTTTTTTTTAATGTCTTAAAGAAACTGAGCCATAATAAAAAGCCAAACATAACTGATTTCAGACAATGCTTTTCATCCATATCTGATGGTTATAACAAATTAAGCTCTTGGAGATGCTCCGAGCTCTCACCTGTAAGAAGAAAAGTTGAACACATATTTGGATTGATATATTTACCACATACTAAGTACACACTTGATACTGCAGGGGAAGAAACTAGAAATCACATCAGAGGAGATCAAGGCCATTACTCACACACATTGCCAGAGACAGGAGAATCATTATGTACCAGAGAGCTCCCAGTATGGCAAATAAGTGCATGGGAACATGAGAGCAAGTAAGTTACTGGTCCTCAGGCAAAAAAGGAACTTTCTGTGATATGTTAAAAATAAACATGTGTAATAAAACCTTAAGGAAAACTTCAATTTAATTTTGATGAGATTTTGTGACAGATAATAATTATCTTAGATAAGATTTTTATTCTTTCCCCAAGTCACCAATTCAGGAGCACCTTGTTTCTGTGACACACTTTAATTATCCAAATCTTTTTCAATACCTACCCATAAATCCTCTACTTGTCTTAATCACTGCTTCTCCCAGTTAGAGTATTCAAAACCTGCCTGGACGCATTCCTGTGTGACCTACTCTAGGTGATCCTGCTCTGGCAGGGGGGTTGGACTGGATCGTCTGTCGAGGTCCCTTCCAACTCCTAATGTTCTGCGATTCTGTGTGATTCAAACAATTGAAGGAGGGCTAGGTCACTGCATATATCCAGTTGGGTCTTAATAATTAAGGGTTATCAAGCTGTACCTGGCTTAGAAACATCGCTGTTATCAATGATATTGTCTCTTTCAGAAAATAGTATTACAGATATAAAACACGATATTAAGATCATGTATTGAGGTGTATGATACAATTTGTAATGACCCAGGCAGAAAGAGAGAACAGATGTTTCATGCAGAGAAAATGCTGGTTTGGACAGATCTAAATGCCTGGCTATAGGTCTCT